GAAGTACTAAGTGGAGGTTGCCCAAATTGGATTAATTGTTTAAGAATGACCGGTCTAATGGATTGTTCAGCATACTAAAGAACTTTGTTAATTTATTGTGAAAAAAAGAACACGCCTACAATTAATCAAACGCTAAAAACCTACCTTGGTAACTTTATCATCGTAAAATGATACCACTGGTGTGGTATATCTTCGTGTGATATGTCTCTGAAAAAGAGGAAACGTAGCTTTTAGGCGACTATTATTCAAATGTTCTGAGAAGATACCAAACCGAAAGGTTCTAAAAACAATTATCCCGATTTGAGAATCTAAAGCCATGTTTGATTATAAAAATTTATTCATTAAGGACAGTTTGAGGTTAGGATAAAAGTAAAGGTAAAATTACCTCCCCGACATTTTTTTTTTTGTTAGTTCCTTCAAAAATAGATTTTTCGTTTTCGTAAATACATGAAATTATAATTGGCTGATATTTAGCACGTGAAAATTAACCGATTGAATCGCTGGCCAATCAAATCATGGAATTTGCTTGGTTTAATGTTATCCTAGATTATCCTGTTGATTTAGATGTTTAAGTTTATTCTTCCTGAAACATAATGGGTCAGCCAGTAAGAGCTTTAAAAAAAACTTTACGCAAAGAGATGAGTAGCCTTCTTAACCAGATTCCTCCAGAGAAAATTGAGGAAGAAAGTATGTTTATAGCCTTTTTAACGAGATTAATCTAGCTTTTAAGAATAGCTTTTCAAACTTTCTTTACACAGGTGCTATTGTAGCAGAAAAAGTAATGTCTTCACAACAATATCAGTCAAGTACATACATAAGTGTTTATCTTAGTATGCCAAAAGCCGAAATTTCAACAAAATCCATAGTCTATGATATATTTAATAAAGGTATCATAATTACCACTTCATACCATATATTTTTTTCCCGCGTGATCGATCGATCGATCAATGAATTAATTATTTATTAGGGAAAATATGTTATGTTCCGCGTTGGGATGGAGAAAATATGGAAATGGTTAAACTTGAGTCTTTGGATGATTATTTATCACTTAAACTAAACAAATGGGGTATCCAAGAACCAGACCATGATCAAATTCGAGATACTGGTACATGAACCATTGGAGTGCACGATATACGTACTATGTAAATCAAGACTATATGTGGTATCATATAAGAACTTTATATATAATACTATTTTACTTATAATTTTTCGTGAAATTTAACTAGCGGTTCAATATTAGGAGCAAATTGTGCAAAGACCAATATTATATTTTCACAAAGTTACACAATATACCAATACAATAACTACCTTATTGCACGAGTTGTCACATAAGACCCGTGCAATAAAGCTATAGTATTGGTCCGCAAAATTTAGTCCTAAAATATTAAACCGTTAGGACTGCGAAATATTATAAGTAAATTAAGTATTCTATATAAAATTTGATATCAATATCAATAGTTTTTGATTTACATAAGGATATCGCGCACCCCCGATGAACCATAAAATCATAAAATTATGAATTTAACAAAGTTGCTTCTTTCAAAGATCAATTCAATTTAATTTAATTATATCTTATAATTATTACAGCAACCCAATTGGACTTGATTATAATGCCTGGTAATAAATATATATATATATTTTTTAAAGACACTATAAAAAAAATTTTTTAAAAAAATAACTATTAAATTAATAGGACTAGCATTTGATCTCAATAGAAATAGACTTGGTCACGGAAAAGGGTGAGAATTTTTAGTAGGTTGATTTTTGTGGTTAAACTAGCTTATTTGAATTTTGTTTTGTAGATATTACGACAAATATGTGACGAAATGTCGACAATGGACTAAACCACCACTAGCTAGTAAGTTTTATATACTGTATATTACCAAAATAGAAGCAACCAAAAAAAAAAAAAGAAAGGACAAAAATTGTGATTTTTACGATCTAAAGCAGTGCTTGAAATTAAAATTTTAAATTATTAGCGGAATATAAACATTTAATTGCGCATGTAAATTTTTAATCAAAATCTATAGGCAAATTTGCTAATTTAGATGTTGAATTCGCATGCGCACTTCAGGTTTTAGTAAACTTTATTGTGGTTCGCCGATCTAAAATAGTTCCAAAATGAGAAGGTTGCTTTTATTCGGTAACATACAATAAATTTTTGAAAAATTTTTAATATTCTATTATTCTTATATATGTTTATCATATTTAGTGGCTCTAGCCTTAGATAGTCAAATATTAAAAGATAAAGATATTCCAGTGACTAACACTGACCAAAAACCTGATTTCATCATATCGCCTTACCAGGATATTGGTATTTAATTATTTAAATACAGAAATACGCGTTATCATATTAATGCGGATCATTATCTATCACTAGTTTATTTTAAATTTTTTATTTTAAATTTTTTTGTGGAATGTTACATATATTTTTAAAGTGTATCCGTATAAATAAAACTGTAATGATCAACTTACAGAAATGGTTTTCCTGTATGCGCATGCAGTTAAATTACGTATAAACAAAAATCAATTACTTAAAGTGGTGTTAACGTTAAAGGAAAATACTTTTTTATACAAGTGATACCAACTGCATGAAGTAATAAACATTTATAATATTTTATTTACGTTAATTATCCGCAAATTTAAATATGAGGTTACAGGGTTAGTGGTGCCATAAAAATGTCGCGGTCATGTGATCTCCGACCGTTTCCGACCCATTAATGTATTGATCATAATAACATTGATATATATAATCAATGTATTAATTTAATACAGTAATAATGTAAATGTTGTCGCTATTTGATCAGTATTAAATTCGGACTATCAAATGAGTCGGAAACGGTCGACGATTACGTCACCGCGACATTTTCGGTTTCTTGTAGAAATTCGATTAATCATATGACATATCATTAAAACAATTATTGATGAATTCGATTCTTGTTACTTGCTATAATTGATTACATTAATAAATTAGATAATCAATAATTAAACCAATTGTTACGTAGCTATAACCAAAAAATTTTTTTTTTTGATTTTGTATCACTTGCAAAGATAAGTATATGCGGATTAAAGTTTGGCGTTTGTTTTGATTACTACCTTATCCATTTTCAATTTTCCTATCTAGGGGTTTACTAAAGTCATGTGTAGATCGATCAATATCAAAAGATACTGCCAAAACCTACTTTTTAGAACATTAATAAAAATTTCAAGAGAGCAATTTCACACTCATGCATTACTATTCGCACTATCTTAACCTCAAACAACCAATTTTAATCAATAAATATCTGATTATATGGTACATAACTTTAGCGTTCCCCTAAATGATCCCCTAAATGAGAAAGTTATTATTTGAGCTTCAGTCTGTTACATATAACCGAATAGTGTAACGCAAAACGGAAAACAGGAAAACAGGAAACGCGGGTTTTATGTAAGAATATTCCTCTTTAAGCATTCGCCAATTTAGGCAAATTGATCAAGATGGTAGTACTAAAACCATCACCACTGTTTTAAAATGGAGAGCTACGCTCTTTTTTGAGCTCACTTTTTCTGAAACAGACTTACGCTATCATGGCACAATTAATAGGACCACCTCGAAGAAACAATTGGCGTGAGGAAATGCGTAGAGTTCTTGACCCAATTCCTTTTGATCAAATTATGAGAGAAAGTAAGTTTATAGTATTTAAAAGAGCTCAATTTAAATTTTAAAGTATTATGAGTAATAACCATCATTTATCCCATTCTTTTATACAGGTGGCATTGTAACAGAAAGAGTAATCTCTTTACAGGAATATAAAGATAGCGAACACATATGCATCTACCCTAGTAAACAAAAGTTCGAAATTTCAACAGTATCTTTAATGAATGATATATTTAATCGAGGTATAAAATAATATAAAATAATTATCACTGTTAATATTTGTTTCTTTCCGTTATTAATCAATTCATTAATTAATTATTGTTAGGGAAAAAATGTTATGTTCCATGTTGGAGCGGAAATATTAATGAAAGGATGGAAATAGTCAGACTTAATTCTTGGCAAAATTCACCACATCCACCAGATAACTTTGACGACGTGGGTTACCTAAAACCAGATAATCAACAACGAAATAATGGTATATGATATAAATCATGAATTTACGAAATTTAAAAGCAGCTTTTTTTAAGAATCAGTATAACCTAATTACATTCATAATTATTATAGCAACTAAATTGAATTTAATTATAATACCAGGTAATTAATGTACCACTTTCTTTTAAAGATACTATTAGAAAACTATGACTAAAATAATTAAATTAACAGGAATAGCATATGATCTTGATGGAAATAGACTTGGTTATAGCAAAGAGTAAGAGTTTTAAAGAATTAATTTTTAGTAGTTTAATCTAACTTATTTTAACTTGGTTTGTATTTTACATTAATATAGTCCTTACAATGACTTTTTGGAGAAATGTCGAACATGGACTAACCCTCCAAAAATTAGTAAGTTTATAAATATATATTGGCAAATGCTTACATAATATTCATCATAGTTACATATATATTATTTATTATATTTAGTTGCCCTCGCCTTAGATATTCAAATATTAAAAGATGAAGTGCTTCCAGTAACCGGGGTTGATCAAAAACCTGACTTAGTTTTATCACCAAATTATAATTTTAGGGGTAGGGATTAATATTTTTTATATTTTAATTAATCATGAATTGTAAAAAACAAAAAAATCTATATCAGCATAAATATTACATAAATATTACATAAATATTACGTATAAATGATTCAGCATTACCTTAAATCAATACCGATACAAGCTATCTAGCAACTTTTATTTATTGTAAAGTTTATATTTTGAATAAATTCAATATTGTTACTTGGATAACATGACCACCTACTTTAACGTTAAGCTATTAAATTTTTGCAAATATATATCTGATATTGTGTTGGAATAGATTTATAAGAATTAAATTTATTTGCTATAAGAAAAAAATTTTATTACTATATACTGTATTAAACTCTAAAAAAGGCTTCTAAAATACTATACTACTAAAACGTAGTAACTGGACTCGTTAACTCGTGACTCAAATAACTCGAATTTATCATTCTTCGAATCATGAAAATTTAACTCGCGAGTTAATTATTGATACGTATGATGTTAAAAATAATTATACATAGTAAATACGTAATATGTAATTTTAACGTACAGTAACTACTGAACTACGTCTATATGTTGTAAGTGGGAATGGAATTTAACGTTAAGTGGATTTGGAATTTCCTAGTTAAATTAGGGTTAGGGTGTGCATACGTATGATAAAATCAACCCAAAAACGGGGTTTTATATATAAATTCCTAATCCATTTCCACTTACGTACAACATTATAGTTCATTGAAATTTAAATAAACTATATAATTGTTATTATGTTTAATAATAAAAATTTCAAATATGATGAACAGGAGGAATCCTATGCAGAAGAAATTAGTCAAAGTACTATTACAGCAAAAGCAAAATATTTGATCCAGAATTGGTGGGTGAGGTGTTATTTTTAAAAAGAAGCATGAATTTGCTTGATGCATTATTTCAAGTTGACAAATAATTAATATGCTACTTGTTTTCATAACTTATAATCTGTGATAATAACATGTAATTTGAATTATATATATTTGCTTTGCGTAACTCTTTATTCGAAGTATATTTGCTTTTGTAACTCACAATTTACAAAACTTTCAATAAATTAATTGTTGTGACTCGAATAACTCGACCAGTCACTACTCGCACCATATTAAAACAATTATATTGAAAAACAAAATAATAAAATATATTAATTTTCAAATTTTATCATAACGATAAATTTTATTTAACCAAATTTGGTTACTAATTCAATTTTTTATACATCATTTCAATTCTTTTTTTTTTTTCAATTGAATGGTTTTAAAGTAACAAAATGACAAATGCATTATAAATGCAAAAAATTAAATCAAAAGTAACATTGGGTGGTATGTAAATGATTAATATATAATGTATGGTACAGTAAAGACTAAGTTAGTCAAAAAGGTAAAAAAAAATTGAAAATGTCTATAAAGCCGCTGATACACTTTTAAGGGTATTAGAGAATAACCAAGCATGTATAATTTAAATGTATCGGTATATATATTGTTTATGGTTGAATAAAATACTTCGGCAGCTATTAATACAATATATAAAATAAATATAATAAGATTTTGATTTTTTTTTTTTTAATTTGTTGCAACAGCCACTCTAGATCCGTGCATTTGTATTCGCTCAAATTCTTCGGGGGAGGGCTGCAGAACCTTATTTTCTGGAGAAAACTTTTGCTGTATTAAAGTATCTAATTCTTCTGACTTAGTCTGTCAATAATAAATTAGTTTTAATGATTAATAATCAAAGTCGTAAAGTCATAAATATTATAATATGTATCCAATTTTCTTATGAAAAGTTCTTATGAAAAGTTCCGGATTTGATGCTATACCTTAGTTATATATTCAACCTTAGCTTCGGCTTCAAATACTTGTTCTAATATATCTAAAGGTTCATCTATTTGCGACCAATCAATGGTAAGCGTCTTTTCCGAACGGTTTTCGTCCTGGTCATTTTCATCTTGTAAAGTTTCTGTATCTTCTTCAAGAGATTGACGACTAGAGCTTAAATCCGGATCTACCGGTATTGGCTCAGTTACGTCTTTTAAAGCCCTTTTTCCGTCTTCCCATTCTTGAAAAACATAAACAAAGTCATTGCTTATTGATTCATATTGTTTTATTAATTGTGCTCTTTCACTGTCAGAAATATCCATGCCTGCTTATGACAAGAAGTTAGATTGTAACTAAAATTTTATCTAAAAAATAATCAAATATTATAATCCAAAGTACCTTCCGTTTCATAATATTTATGAGCGTCTTCATTGCAAATGTATAATTTGGCTTGAATGCTACGAACACGTTGTTCAACGGAAGCTAAACGATGAAGATAGATTCTGAGCTTTTTGTTAGTGATTATTTGTGGGGTTGGCTGTGATAGAAAGTCTTGTTTAGGAGTTGGGATGGTATCTAAGGTATGTTGGATACATAAATATATAATTATATAAACATCAATATATAATTATATAAACATAAATATAAAATTATATAAACATCAATATATAATTATATAAACACAAATAAATGCAATAATCGTAAATTAAGAAATTTTATATAACTAACATAAATCAATAGCTGATGCCGCAATAATTCGGTCTAAGTAAATTCCGGTGATAACACCTAAATTATTCAAATGTTCATTGACTATTGCCCAATGATGTTCATAATCTCTTCTGCCAGAATCTCTTCCAGGTGTCATTACATCCAACGCAAGAAAATGACATAAAAGTTCACGACGTTTTGTATGCACTTTCTGAAAACATTGTTTCAAGTGTTCCAGAGAAAGCGTATCGTATTCTTCCAAAAACCATTCATCACCTTCTGGACGAGGAATTATGTTGTACATATTGTACATTATGACTAAATCCTCTTTCAAAGTTTCCGGATTCATTGCAACTATTGCGTCACAATAACTCTCAAAAGCTTCTTTAAGTATATTATGAACAGTTTCTCGAAGCACACCACAACGTCGATCTTCTGAACTTTGTTCAGTATGAGATCCTGTAGGAGTGGGTAACGATCTGTTATCGTATTAAATTTAATTGTTTAAAAATATGTGACAAAAAAAAAAAGAAGGCAATCTTAAAATGAATATTTCATACAATCGGTAGCCACGTGATACAAGTTCGACCTCCTGGATCATTGTTAGAGCTTGGTTTAATTTTATATCAAAATTTTGACAATTATACACAAGCGTTTCCAGAAAATATAGTGCAGAGTTGTGTAATGTTTTCATAGCTTTCCGTCGCTAATAGCCATATTTTTAAAAAAATAATTAATCATTAAAATAACAAAATGATAATAAATTAACGCTTTTTATAAATTCAAGTTACCATGCGACGGTATAAGAAAAATGTACCACATAATGCTAACATGAATGCAATGGGTAATTGCATTATTTTTGTACCGATATCTTTAGATTCAGTACCGTGCAGTAACCAAGTTAAAACAACAACAATCATGCCGATTACAGAGCTTAACAAGATTTCAAAGTTTCGACGTGAAATTCCTCCCAAGTATAACCCAGCATCACGGATCTCTATTGGATCCGGTTTTCTGCTATCATAGAAGTAAACTGACAGTGTATCATTTAGGAGGTGCGATGTGCATAATAAATACTTAAATCGTTCTTCGAACTCGTTTTCTTCTTGTAAAGGTAAAGCTGTTGATAATGTTTCCTGGATTAAAAAAGGTTATGAAATGTTACATTAGTGAACTATTTTTTTTTAATGATTGTTGAAAATGCATAGTTGTAAAAAAAGCTATTATGCTATCAGGAATTACTATACTAATACTTACCTGAAGATATTCAAATATATTTAGCACACCTTGCGAAAACCTTGATATTGATATCGTTACGGATTCTTCAGTTTGTGATCTCTGCCTTTCAACAAATAAACTTAACCTTTTTTTATTACTGACATCTATTCAATTAACATAAAAAGGATTTACTTTTAAAGCTCCACCCAAAAAACTGAGCTTCTTTAAGCTTACCAGTATGATCCTCTGAGAAACGATTATCCTCGTAGACTATGTTTTCAGCCATTATATAATATTTTTAAGGAAGAAAAAAAAAAATGAAAGTAAAGTTTTAAGTACAGTTGACGGAAGCTATGGGGGGGATGAAAAATGAAAGCATATCGATATACCCCCAAAAAATTTATTAAATTGCTCGAGGTGACGACTGATAGATCACTAAAACGTTAAATATCTGCAGTGACACATGTATTGTCTAAAAGTGCATAAATTTATATATAGTAAGCTTACCATGCCAGAAAAATTGATCGCATGAAATCACCACAAAATTTACCTAAAATTTACCATGTGAATATAACAAGTAACAAAAAAAAACAGGTGATTATAAGAAA